CAGGAAAGATGGGGGAACCCACATAGGGCTAGGGGATCTGGTGAGGTACCCAGAAAAGGATGGGGGACCCGGGTAGTTATGGGGATCCCCAGACAGGGCAGGGGGCCCCGAGGAGGCTGTGGGGGCTCCCTGTGCCCATCCCCGCACTCACTGCACACCGTGACAAGGAGCCGGGCGCTGCTCTTCCGCACGGCCCCCCCATCGGATTGCACCTGGCAGCTGTAATTCCCCGAGTGGGAGACCCCCACGGCAGGCACCAGCAGCTGCGGGGACCCCTGTGGGCCCCCCACCACCTGCCCATCCCGGTAGAGCAGGTACAGGAGGGGAGCTCGGGGCCGCAGGGGACTGGGGGTGCTGAGGCAGCTGAAAGTCAGGGGGGATCCCACAGTAAGATAAGGGGGACCCTCCAGCACCGGCACTGAGAAGAGCTCTGGAAAGGAGAGGGGAGGGAGATTTGTGAGCCCAAGTCCCTGGGGAGGGGCTGTGAGGGTGTCAGGGTGGTGGCTGTGGGGTGCTCACCGTGCACTGTCACTGTCACTGAAGCCGAGTGCGCCCACGGTGCCACCTTGGAGTCCACCTGGCCCCTGCAGCTGTAGCGACCACTGTGGTTCAGCTGCAGAGGGGACAGGGACAGCTCGGTCTCATTGAGGGACGTCTCCACCTCCTTGTCCCCATGGTAGAATCGCACCCCAGTGACTGACATGTTCGCCCAGCCCCGGTAGCGCAGTGTCACCTTGTCCCCCTCCAGCAGCTCCTGCGCCGGCGCCTGCAGCACCAGTCGGGCTGTGGAACATGGGAGTCTTAGGACACCTGTGGCATTCCATTTTCTCAAGGACCCTTGAATTGGAACACATCCAGAGCAGCAGGGTTCCCTGAATCCAGAACTGGGGTCCCTCCACTCTGAGACGCTCTGGGATCTCCCCGTGTACAGGGGATGGGCTCTGGTCACACAGGAGGTGACCCATGGAGCAGAGCCCACCCAGACACCTTGGGGTCCCCACAGGTACGAGGCTGGAGACACCCAAACCCCTCTCACCATTTGAGACTGTCACAGAGGGGCTGTGCCCGGTGCCGGGTCTGTCACACGTGTAGGTGCCACTCTCAGTGACAGTGAAGTGATCTGGTCCCTCCTGCCCCCAGCGCTGCCCGTCCTTGTACCAGGTTGTGGCAGGGGCAGTGCCCGAGCCCTGGCAGGTCAGTGTCACCCGGTCCCACAGCGCTGCCGGCCTCCAGGAGGGCTCCACCAGGAGCTGGGTGGTCTGGGCACCTGTGGGTGACAGGGGACACCAGCCTGCCAGGGCCAGCGTGGGGCTGGGAACAGCAGGAAGGGCCATGGCATCCCCCGAGGACTCACCAGCGAGGCCGAGGGTCTGGGCTGGAAGGGAGAAGAGACAGGGCTGGGTGAGGGTGGCATCACATGGACATTGGCAGGGAGGGACAGGGTGTGGGGGCTGTCCATAAACTGTCATAGTGTGGCAAGGACCCCTTGGGGACAGAAACACACCAACTAGCCCTTGCTCAGTTAGGACATAGGGACACATTGGACACCCAGAAATGGAAACTCAGCAGTGGTTGCAGTGGTAACCTCCAGAAGCCCCATGATAGTTCCCCAAATCCCTGTCCCCCGTTATTGTCCCCCCTCTCGTGTCCCCACAGCCCTAGTCACCTCATGCTCTGGCTCTGCGGCCTTTTGTGACCTCAGGGGACCCCACAGCCCCCCTGTTCCCCCTCCCCACCAGTCTCTGCCTCACCAGGGCCCATCCCCAGGGTGTCAGGCCCGTGCCCAGGGGACTCACCCCACAGGAGCAGTGCCACCTTCCCAGCCATCCCAGTGTCCCCAGCCATGTGCACTGGCTGTCACTCGCTGCTGTGGCCACCGCTCCCCTGGCTGGTGGCTCTTTGGATGAAGGGGAAGGAAGCCATCCCCATGCGTAGGTGGCCCTTGGTGGGGGCAGGGTGGGGACAGGATGGGGGCAGGGTGGGGACCCTGTGGGACATGGGGGTGATGGTGGGACATGGTGGGGCCAGAATTTGGAGTCTGAGGTCATGTAGGGAGCCAGGGATGGGTGTCCAGAGGAATGGGGTGCCCAGAGATGGGGTCCCATGGGAATGGAGGTCCCAGTGGATGGATGGACTCAAACTTGGGAATGAGGGTGCCAGAAAAATGTGGCCTCCAGGGATTTGTGATCATGGGATGGGGGCCAAGGGATGGAGGTGCCAGGGGAAAGGGGAACCCTGTGAGAATGGGGGCCCATGGGGGATTCAATGTCCCCAAGGAAATGAGACTCCCAGGGACTGAATTACCAGGATGGGGTTCTTTGTGGTCGGAGATTGTGAGGAATTGCAGTCCAGGGAAGGGGTCTTAGGGAAGGAGGGACAAAAGGAAATCAGATTCCCATGACTGGGGTCCCAAATGAATGTGGGTTTCAGGGATGGGCAGTGGCTGGGGGGGCATGGGGGTCACAGCTCCTTCCCTGGGTGCCTCAGATTTTGGGGTGGCCCATGGCCAGGTGTTGCCCCCTTGGGATGCTCATTCCTTGTGCAGGTATCACATGGGGGTCCTGGGTAGCTCTGCTTCTATGCCCTCCCCTGCCCTTGATTTTTTCTTTCTTTATTTCTGTTTTCTTCCTTTTTTTCCTCACTTGTATGCCATGTCCCCTCAACCCCAGTTCCTGGTTCAGCAATCCCAGGAAGCACCTGAGCATGGAACACATTGGAGGGAGCCAGGGGAGGGGGATAATGGGGAGCAAGGAGAGCAGGGAAGGATGGGGATGCTGTGGGGGATGGAGGTGTTGGGCTGCGCCCTCTCAACACTTTCACTTTCTTTTTCCTGGACAAAAAGGAAGAGACCATTTGTGCTGAGAGTCAGAGGGCAAAGAGGGGCAGACTCTGTCCTGGGAGGGCACATCCAGGACGATCTTGCCCTGTGAGGTCCCTGTTGTGGGGATGACCTGGGGGAAACCAGTCCAGGGTGTGACACATCCTGGTATGGGAGGTGTCCTGTCCCGGGTGTGGCAGTTCCAGAAATGTCCCTGCACATTCCTGGCCGGTGCCTGTCCCAGGGGTGGCACATCCTGAGGACCGCTGTCAATGCAAGTGTGGGGCCCAGCCATGGCCCAGCCCCACTGCACAGGGATGGCCACTGCCCAGCCCTGCTCTGGCCAGCCCCAGGTGGCAGCCAGCACCTGAGGGTCCCCCCTGCCCCATTGGCTTTGATTCTGGCAGCCTTAGAGCTGCTGCAGAGGTGAGAATTCTGTGGGGGAAAAGGCCTGCCTGTGGTTTGCTCAGCTCTGCAAGAAGCACAAAACCCAAATAGAGATCAAGCAGCGGCTCTGTGAGGGCCTTTGATGGTTTTCAGAGCAGGGCTGGCTGGAAAATGACCATGCAAAGGCAGCTGTGTGGGAACCAGTCCAGAAATGTGGCAATTGATCATTTTGTCCCTCTCAGCGAGGGACTGAGAGAGCCCCAGAACTACTGCAAAGACAACAACAATCTGCGCAACAACCTGTATCCTCCATCTTGAACAAAATCTCCAGCCCTTTGGGACCTTCTAGAAAGAATGTTGGCATTCTGGATGTGCACACTAGAAGAGAGGGGAAAGTGTGGAAATATTGAGCAGGGGCTGCACACAAGGGGCTGGGGAACAGGGGTGTCACAGCAGGAGCGGGCAGTGCCCAGGCCCAGGCAGGGGAATTCAGGGCAGGCTGGAGTGGATTTACCAGGGAATCAGACCCTGAGGCACACACAGGCATTTCCACAGATTCCTGTGCACTGTCCCAAGGACGGACAGAGCTTCTCCCCTTTTGGGAGCTGAATCCATGGGAAGTCATTCAAGTTTCAGGGTGGTAATGAGAAGAATGGGGAGAATTCCTAAATATGGCTCAACAAAAGGCTTCCTTAGGGGCTGGGTTACTGCCAAGCAGGTAGGAAACAATCCCATGGAGCTGTTGGATACTCAGGGAGATTCCACGCACTCTGTGGTATCCACAAGCAAATGCTGCTGTTGGATGCAGCAAGGGGCTCCTACAGGGAGAAAAACAAATCTCATTTCTTTGTGATTTGTTTGTGTTTTCATTGTGAGTGACTTGTTGGGAAAGCAATGATTCAAACTATTCTATAAACCAGCTAATTTTATACCTTGTGAGTTTGATTTATTTTTTATTGGGAAAATAATGGTGTGGGAAAATATTCTTGCCTTTATTCTATGGATGTGTAATTTTGTCTCAGCCAAATGGTCATCACATGTTTGCTGAGGTCACTGAGCTGGGAAATGGGAGCGACAGGAAAAAGCCCAGGAGTGTGTGGGGCAGAGATCGAGAACCTCCCAGGACAACCTTGGCTCCCTGGCCATGAGCACTGTGGGGAATGTGCTGGGTTCTGAGTCACCCCAAAATCTGAGGGAATCCTGGAAGCAGCTTTGACCCCTGTGCCCACCCAGACATTGCCCATCCCTGGCACCCCCATTCTCCAGGGAACCCAACCATGGGACCCCCATTACCTTGGTCTCTCGTCCCTGAAGACCACCATCCCAGGAGTGTATTTGCCCAGCACTACCATTGCCTTCATGCCATTCCATGGGCTGCTTCTTCCCCCAGAACCCTTATTCCCAGGGTCTCCTTTTCCCTCTGAACCCCCAACCCTGGCACCCACATGCCATGACCCCAAATCCCTGGGAAACATGTTTCCACAGCACCCCCAGCCCTGGAACCCCCCAGGCATGGACACCCAATTCCACTGACACCCTATTCTCCTGGACACCCATCCTTGGTTCCCCACATCCCCTGAGCCCCCTACTCTGGGCAACGCCATCCCCCACCATGTCCTCAGACTATGCAGCCTTGTCCCCAGCCTGTCCCCACCCTGCACCCACCAAGGGCCACCTACGCATAAGGTTGAGATGTGACCTCGCTTCCTTCCCCTTCATTCAAAGAGCCGCCAGCCAGGGGAGCGGTGGCCACAGCAGCGAGTGACAGCCAGTGCACATGGCTGGGGACACCGGGATGGCCGGGAAGGTGGCGCTGCTCCTGTGGGGTGAGTGCCCTGGGCACGGCCCTGACACGCCAGAGATAGGGAGGGGAGGGCAACAGGGGGCCTATGGGGTCCCTTGAAGTCCCCAAAGCCAGCAGTGCCAGTCCATGTTACACACAGACCTGGGTGGAACTAGCGATGTAGGGTGGCTTTGGGGACAGGAACAGGGAGGAAGGAATTTGGGGATGGGTATGTGGGGCCAGGAATGTGGAGACTGGCACCATTTGGGCTCAGGTAGCTCTGGAGACAGGGACAAGGGAACTGGGATGCAGGGACAGAAGGGGACAAGAACAGTGAGGATGTGGCCATGGGGATGGGATCATGAGCTGGTGGGGATGACCGGGGCTAGCATGGGCTGTGTCTGTGGAGTCCTCGTGCCCAGGGTGTCCACGAAGTCCCCATGTTCTGCCTCAGCCCAGGGGGGCCTCAGTGTCCCTGTTCCCAAGATGTCTGTGCCACAGGGATGTGGGGCACGGGTTGTTGTGACACATGCATGTCCCCCTCCACTCAAAATTGTTTGGAACCACCCACACACACTTTCCTGCAAGAAATGCGGTCCCCATGGTGCCATCCCCACTGAGCCTTGTCCCTTCTCCCTTCCAGCCCAGACCCTCGGCCTCGCTGGTGAGTCCTCAGGGGATGCCTTGGCCCGACCCCGCTGTCCCCAGCCCTACACTGGCCCTGGCAGGCTGGTGTCCCCTGTCACCCACAGGTGCCCAGACCACCCAGCTCCTGGTGGAGCCCCTTTGGAGGCCGGCGGTGCTATGGGACCAGGTGACACTGACCTGCCAGGGCTTGGGGACCGCCAAAGCCATGACCTGGTACAAGGATGGGCGGTGCTGGGGGCAGCAGGGACAGGACCACGTCACTGTCAGCCAGAGTGGCACCTACAGCTGTGACAGTCCCGGCACTGGGCTCAGCCCACCTGTGAACTTCTTAGTCGGTGAGTGGGGTTTGGGTGTCCCCAGCCTGGCACCCACGGAGACCTCAAGGTCTCTGGGAGTGCTCTGTTCCATGAGTCACCGCCTGAGTGACCAGAACCTGTCCCCTGCTCTGGGGACATCCCAGAGCTGGATAAAATATGTGGTAATTGGGAACCCCTGATGCACTGGTTGTGACACAATAGGGGGATCCCGGTGCCATCAGGTCTGAGAGGCCCTCTCTGTCCCCCAGACTGGCTGGTGCTACAGGTGCCAGCACAGGCACTACTGGAGGGGGACACAGTGACACTGCGCTGCTGGGGCCGATGGAACAACCCAGTCACCTCGGTGTCCTTCTACCGTGAGGGGAAGGAACTGGAAGGGCTCCACGATGGGACTAAGCTGTCCCTCTCCCCTCTGCAGCTGAACCACAGTGGCCGATACCACTGCAAGGGCCAGGTGGGATATTTGGAGTGGGAGGAGTCCGTGACAGTGACAGTGCTTGGTGAGCATCCCAGAGCATCCCAGTGTGGGGGAATCCATGTTGGAATTGGAGATTCTTGGTGCTCTGAGTGTGATCCCATGGGGGGATCCCCATGAAAATGGGACCCCCGGTGTGACAGGACCCCCGTGTCCTGCAGCCCGGTTGGTTCTGCAGGTGTCGTCGTGGGAGCTGCTGAAGGGGTAAACAGTGACACTGCGCTGCCGGTGGTGGTGGGACATGCCGGTCACTGGAGTGCAATTCTACCATTGGGACAAGGAGGTGGAGAGGTCCCTCAATGGCCCCAAGCTGTCACTGTCCCCCCTGCAGCTGCACCACAGCGGCTCCCACAGTTGCAGGGGCTGGGTGGACACCAAAGTGTCACCGTGGGCACAGTTGGCACCAGTGACAGTGATAGTGCACGGTGAGCACCCCCACGGCTGGAACTCCAATCTCCTGACACCCCCAAAGCCACTTACCAGGTGGACTCAGAGTCACAGTCCTCACCTCCCCTCTCCTTCCCTGAGCTCTTCATGGTTCCAGTGCTGGGGGGGGCCTCCCAGCCCACTGAGGGGTCCCCCCTGACTCTCAGCTGCCTCAGTACCCCCAGCCCCCTGCGGCCCCGAGCCCCCCTCCTGCACGTGTTCTATCAGGACGGGAAGGTGGTGGGGGGCCCGCAGGGATCCCTGCAGCTGCTGGTGCCCGCCGTGGGGGTCTCCCACTCTGGGAATTACAGCTGCCAGGTGCACTCCAAGGGTGGGGCCATGCGGAAGAGCGGCGCTCGGCTCCGTGTCACTCTGCATAGTGAGTGCGGGGATGGGGATGGGCATGGGGAGCCCCCACAGATGCCTCGGGTTCCCTGGCTGGGGACGTCCATGTCCCCCTTTCTTTTGTGCCCCCACGTTTGCGTCTGTCCCCTCACCCATCTCTGATGTGACTCCATCCCCAACATTCCCCATCACCCCCATCCCCATTGTCCCTATCCCCCCTCACTGGCTGCCAACCTCTCCCTATGGCCTCAACCCTGTCTGTGTCCCCACAGTGCCTGTGGACAATGCCACCATCATCCCTGGTCTCCTGTCACACCAGGTGCATGCAGGTGGCAACGTGACCCTGCGCTGCTCAGTGCAGGTGGGCTCAGCCCCTGTCACCTTCACCTGGCTGCACAATGGGCAGGAGGTGGCCCGGGGTCCCCTCCTGGAGCTCAGGGACATCAATGTGGGACATTCGGGCACCTACTAGTGCATGGCCACCAACCAGCTGGGACAGGACGGGCACTGCGTGTTCCGGGCACTCAGCCCTGAGCTGGAATTTACGGTGAAAACACAGGGACATAGGGACACAGGTGGGATCACACAAGGTCACCAGGGATGCAGGACCCCTGGGGGAATGGGTGACTCTGATGTGTCCCCCTCTATTTCTTGCAGTGGCCGCAGGGGTTGGTTGGGCCCTTTTCTTCCTGCTCCTGCTTGTGGGTGTCATTGTGGCCTGGCACTGGTGGCACCGTGTGGGTGGGTGAAAATGGGGGTCTCAGGGAGATGTAGAGGCCCCCAGAGTTGGGGAATGATAGGGCAGCACCCACAGCCCCAGAGTTGTGACCTTGTCTGGGGGTCCTGGAAGGCTTGGGGGGACACTGAAGGGTCCTGCAGGGATGTTGGGGGTTCTTTCAGGGGCCCTGGGGGTGTCTGGGAGTCTCTGTCCCATCCGGACTTTGGGTTCTCGAGGCTGAGTTTGTCGGGGGCGCCTGGGAGGTTCATGAATTCTTGAGGGCTTCAGAGAAGCTTGGGGGCCCTGTGAGAAATTGAGGGTCCCATGGGAGTTCGGGAATCCTGAGAGGATTCAGAGCCCTGGGGACCCCGCAGTCACCCCTCCCCTCTTTCCTCTGCAGCTGCCAGGAAGCAGCAGGAAAGGTGAGTGGGGGGATCAAACCACACTCTTTTTTTTATCCCAATCTCCCAAACCCTCCCATTCCCTTCCCCACATCCCCTGTGTTCCCTCAGGGCCCCCCCCAGACCTCCCCAGAGGAGGGGGAGGTGCTGTACACCCACATCGTGGTCACCAAGAGGGCAGGGGTTGAGTACGGGGGGAGCAGAAGCAGAGGGACACGTCACCCATGAGTGTCACCCCACCCAGATCCCACAGCCCGTGTCTCTCACAGTGTCCCCCCATGCCACCACTCTCCAGGATCCCCAGGTGACTTACACGGAGCTGCGGGGACCCCAGGGGCGACTGCAGGAACCTGGTGACGTCTATGGAAATGTGCTGTGACACTGGGGGAATCTGGGGGGCACTGGGGGTCCCCACCCATGGGCACCCACTCGTGTGTGTGCTGTCAGAAAAAACTGCCCCTCCCACTCCCCATGGAGGCACAAAGATCCCAACAGCAATGAGAGAGAATAAAGCCAACAGCAACAGCTACGATGTTGAGAGTATAAATTGTCACACAAGGAACGATTTTCAGTGGAAGCCACTAAAAAGGAACAAATCCCAGACACTGTCCCCAGCATGTTTCCTCCACAAGAGGAACCTGGCAAGGCCCTGGACCTTCCTTGCTCTGATGGCCAAAGTGGCCTTCAGGAGGCTCTGGATTCTCTTGTCTCCTGTCCCAAATACCTCCTCTGCCCTGTTTCCCACAAGATGATGGCACAAAGGCACTGTTGGTGTTGCTGAGCCTCTGCCTTTCCCAGGGCAGTTGGGATCAGGCCATGGCACAGGGTGGGTTGTAAGAGACAGGAAAAGTTTAATATCTGGGGACATTTTGCAACACCTGTGCGTGGCAGGGGTGGGTCAGGCCCTGTTTTTTGTGAAACAGGGCGCTGTCTGTCCACCAGTCTTTCAGCCATGGCACACTGGGGCCAGTGTGCCCTCTGACAAAGCCATCTCCTGAGCAATCACATGACCCGAAGTGCCATTTGGTTAAAAAGCCCTTGGTGGCCCAGCTGGCTTAAAAGGTGGCCAAGTCCCTGACCATGCCTGCTCCAAAGGTGTCTGTCCCATCCAGTCAAGAAGCGAGGATTTGGCAACTAATGTAAATGAAAAATAGCTGCAAAGGAAATTGGAAGCATTCCTGGAATAGAAAGAAAACCTATCTCTAAAATTTTTTAAATTTCAAAAATCATGGGGCTTCAAGGCAATAGTGCAAGGAAAGGAATAACAGCTCCTTACTCTGAAATTTATAAAGCAGAATAGAATGAACAACACAAACTCAGAACTTTCCCTCCCACTTAGTGCTGTTGGTTTTTGTGGCAGTTATAACCGCGGCCAGTGGGGGGCGCGGCAGGGAGCACTCCCGGCCAGCAGGGGGCGCTGCAGGGAGCAATCCCGGCCAGCAGGGGGCGCCCTGGTCCAGCTCCATCCCCTCAGGAGCCATGGCGGCCTCGGGCAGGAGGGAGGAGGGGAAATCGCTCCTTTTGCAAACTCACGGGCACCAATCGGTCCCGGCACAACCACCAGCAGCGGGCAGAAGCCGCCAAGGCAGCAGGTTGGATCCCAGTGCCCACTGGCAGCGTAGCAGTGTCCCGGGGTCAGGCACACGCCCTGCACAACACCCGTGACTGCTCTCCATGATCCCAAATGGAAGGAAGGCAGCACCTGACCCCAGGCAGGTCTTGGGTCCACAGCAGTACCTCTGGTGGCTTTATACCCTCAGCCTTTCACGCATGTGAGGAGGGCAGGGATGGAGCAGCTTTGGGAACACCTGGAATCCAGACAGGGTCACTCCCCACAGCCCCGCCATGGCCGTGGCCAGATCTTCTGCTCGGTATTTCCACACTTTTCAATCTTGTCAGGTGGTCACAGCCTGAACACAAACATTCTTTCCATGAGGTTCTTGTTCGAGAAAGAGGACCCAGGTCAGGTTGTTGAGAAGACTGTTGTGGCACAATTTCTGTGATTCTCGCAGTCCATTGAGCAAAGTGACAAAACTATCAATTTCTGCATTTCTGGACTGGTTCCCTTACAGCTGCCCCTGCAGCGGTGGTTTCCAGGCATCCCTGCTCTGAATACCATCAAAGGCCCTCTCAGAGGGAAGGAGCTGAGATCCACAGGCTCACCAAGCCACTGCCCATCCCTGGGACTTCCATTCCCTTGGAAATCAAATCATGGGTACCCCATTTCCTATGTCTCTCCCTCCTCTGGAACCCCTATCCCAATACTGATATTCCCCAGGATCTCCACGGCCCAAGACAGCATTCCCAAGGAACCCTCTCCTGTTCATTCCACCCACTGACAGTCTCCTTCCCCCAGAACCTTGATTCTCCCAGGATACCCATTCCAACAGGACCCCTACATTCCCCGAGCAGCCCCATCCCATGGCCACAAATCCTTGGAGCCCATGTTCCTATGGCGCTCCCATCCCACAGTCCCTCCAGCCCTGAAGACCCCCATTCCCATGGTTCCCCATCCCCAGTGACACCCCCTAGGGTGGGTGTCTAGGACCTAGCATTCCCCAAGGACTCCCATTTCTCAGGACACACCTCCCTGGGTCCGCAAAACCCCCTGATACCCCCCCACTCCTGGGAACCCCATGTCCCACTGTGTCCTACCTGGCCTGTCCCCACCCTGTCCCCACCCTGCCCACAGCCTGTGCCCAGCTTGTGGCCACCCTGCCCCCACCAGGTGCCACCTATACATGAGGGCGAGACTTGACCTTGCTTCCTTCCCCTTTGGCCAAAGAGCCACCACCCAGGGGACAGCCACTCCACATGGTTGGGGACACTGGGATGGCCGGGAAGGTGGCGCTGCTCCTGTGGGGTGAGTGCCCCGAGCACAGGCCTGACACCCCGGGGATGGGGAGGGGAGAGGGGCACAGGGGGGCTGTGGGGTCAGTGCCAGTCCTTGTTACACACAGTGGAGGTTGGTGGGACAGCGACTGATATAGGGTGGCTTTGGAAGGCAGGAAGAGGGGGCAGAAATTTGTGGATGGGGACGTGGGGACAGGAATACTGGAAGTGGTGCCTTTGGGCTCAGGTAGCTCTGGGGATAGCGAAAGGGAACTGGGATGCAAGGACAGAAGGGGACAAGAATGGTGAGGATGTGGCCATGGGGATGGGATCATGGGGATGGGATCATGAGCTGGTGGGGGTGACCTGGACCAGCATGGGCTGTGTCTGTGGTGTCCTCGTGCTCGGGGTGTCCACAGTGTCCCCATGTTCTGCCTCAGCCCCCAGTGGCCTCGGTATTCCTATGCCCAAGGCACCCATGCCACAAGGATGTGGTGCATGGGTGGCTGTGACACAGACATGTCACCTGGAGTCTCCAAATCTTTTAGAGACCATCCAGACACATTTTCTCACAAGAACTGCTGTCCCCATGGGGACAACAGTTTGGAAACAGCCTGACACCCCAAGCATCTGGGCTGCTGTACCTGCAGGGCCACCCCCACTGAGCCCTGTCCCTTCTCCCTTCCAGTCCAGACCCTCGGCCTTGCTGGTGAGTCCTCGGGGGATGCCATGGCCCCACCCTGCTGTCCCCAGCCCCACACTGGCCATGACAGGCTGGTGTCCTCGGTCACCCACAGGTGCCCAGACCACCCAGCTCCTGGTGGAGCCCCCCTGGAGGCCGGCGGCACTGTGGGACCGTGTGACACTGACCTGCCAGGGCTCGAGGACTGCTGGTACCACCACCTGATACAAGGATGGACAGCGCTTGTGGCAGCAGAGAAGCGATCATTTCAAGGTCAACAGGAAAGGCACCTACCAGTGTTGCCGACCCGGCACACGGCACAGCCTGCCCATCATTGTCAGAGAGGGTGAGGAGGTTTTGGGTGTCCCCAGCCTGGCACCCACCACACCCTTAGGGTCCTGGGTGGGCTCCGCTACATGGGTCAACCCCTTGGTGTGACCAGAGCCTGTCTCCTGCTCTAGGGACATGCCAGAGAATCCCAGTGGGGGAGAAACCGTGTTGAAATTGGGGACCCCTGGTGCACTGAGTGTGACCCAATGGGGGGGGACCTGGTGCCATCAGGTGTGACAGGACCCTTCTGTCTCCCAGACTGGCTGGTGCTGCAGGTGGCAACACGGGCGCTGGTGGAGGGGCACATGGTCACACTGCGCTGCTGGGGCTGGTGGAACAACACGGTCACCTCAGTGTCCTTCTACCATGAGGAGAAAGAACTGGAGGGGCACGACAATGGGACCCAGCTGTCCCTGTCCCCTCTGCAGCTGCACCACAGTGGCCGCTACAGCTGCAGGGGCTGGATGGACTGCTGGGGGTAGAAGGAGTCCGCGCCGGTGACAGTGACAGTGCAGGGTGAGAATCCCACAGCCCCCATCCTGAAACCTCCACAGCCCGTCCCCAGAGACTCGGGGCCACAAGTCTCCCTCCTATCTCCTGCCCTGAGCTCTTTCCTATGTGGGTGGTAAAGGGTCCCCCTGAGCCCACCCAGGGGACCCCCCTGACTCTCAGCACCCCCAGCCCCCTGCGGCCCCAAGCCCCCCTCCTGCACGTGTTCTATTGAAGTGAAGGGGAGAATCGACCATCCTGGTAATGCATCGAACTCCAACTTTATTGATCAATCCATCACCTTAAATAACAGTGCTAACGAACGCCATGAATATTCTGTAATCCAATTTCATGATAGGCTAACAGAGAAACTTCTAACCACTCCCTTTGTTTTAGAATACCTACAATTGTTTATTAAAAACAGAAACCAAAACAGAAACCAGAAACTAAAACAGAAACCAGTGTTCCCAAAACTTCTACATCTGTTCTCAGGATGGCAGGCCTTCCCAGAGACGGTGTTCTGCTTGTTATGGGAAGACAATCTGAGAACTTTATTGTTTATAGAATGATGCTTGAGAGAGTCTAATTGTTTATACAAATCAGAAGGCTGAGAACTGTTAGAAACTGCTTTACTTTTCCCCTATACTTTTCTCTCAATTGTATGTCTCATGGCCTTTTCTTTAAGTCATTCTCCGACATTTCCCCCGTTTTTTCTTCTTTGAGAGAAAAGTGGTTAGTTTGCCAGGTTTTCTCTATTTTCTTACTGACTATTTTTTGAATGCAACAAGGTAAGATAATGGTGAAGTTTTTCCTCACAGAAACTCTTGTGGAGGAGACATTACCTCCTGTTCACTATCAGGGGCAAAGAAAAGAGAAGGGAACTCATCCACTACGCTTGGCAACACTTTAAACCTCAGAGCAGCTTCGTGTGGGCCTCATAACAAACTCCAAAAGTACAGACCCCACTCTGCCAGGGCTCAGCTGCACCAAAGGCCTGAGGACAAACAGGACACTCAGAGTCAGAAATGTGATCCTGTGGAGAAGGATCAGAACCAGTGCTCAGAGGTAGAATAATGATAACTTGCTTAAATAACAAGATCCACCCTGCGCTTGGGCTGGTATTCCATTCCAGGCTCTATCTTCTCAAATTAAAAATATCCCTGTGGGTAATTTCCTAGGTGTCATAATAGTAGCCTTTACACTGGTTATAAAGCTGTTTAGACACTATTTCCAGGTTTAGAGATGAATCCAGAGTAGCCCATGTCTGTTTATGCTGACTCATCCTTTGAAATTTAGAGTAATCAAAGCTGAACTGCAATTATCTAATGCTTGATTGGGATCTCTTCTTATAGGGCCTACAACAGAATGTTGTGTTAAAGGCACGAGTTTTCTACATCTTATTGAGGCTATATATGATGTACTTTGAGCTTTAACCCCTTTTCAAAATACACTGTACCTCCCACCGATAATAAGCTAAGATTTTTGCTCATGAGATTTATAAAGGTCTGAAGCTGAAGCAGTGTTTAGCCCTGTCTCATTCCGTAGTGCCTGCTCCCAATTATGTTCCCAGATATGCCTATAATTACAGGTGTGGCACCATAAATGAAAAAGTAACAACTGATCACAACCCCCACAACACAGTGCAACCCAAGCAGCACAATTCAGTCTGTGATATTCAAAACAGTTCTCTTTTGCCGGTCCTCTTATATGGAAAGATGATAATGATTCAATAATGTCAATCAGTTCTCTGGTCATCCGGCAACGGCGTGTTATGGCCTGATCAGGCATTGCACGACAGGTGGTAATTGGACTAAGAAAAGAAAGCTGTTAGCTGTTTTCATTCATGTGAACCTGGATAGAAGGTGAAAAAGTCTGCAAATGATTCTTTCTGTCCTTGAATTTATCACATCCATCTTTTTTCATGAGCTTCCCAGAAATGTTCAAAGTCAGTTTTCAGTTTGTAATCCTTTAGTCATTTGGCTCAAATGGCATCAACTGGGTGATTCTCAGTCCTTTGTTAATTTGGAGTGGTGAAAAGTAGTATGAATTTAAAGCACTTAAAATATTTGACTTAACAGACTTATTTGCAAATCATGTAAAAATCACTTAAATCTAATTCAAACTTAACAGAATCTAACTTAACTTACTTAATAATACTTAACAAAAATTAATTTTCTTCAAATCCCACACAACTCAAACCTATATATAATTTAAACTTAGAAGACCTTGAACCCAACCGAAAACAAGCTCAACAAACTTAACCTTAACATTTAATGGCACTTAATTGATAACTTAACTTAAACTACTTAATAACAGATAAAACTTGCTATAGAAATAATATATAACATTTACTATCACTCACTCACAGGCCTGACTCCAAAACACTCAACCAAAACAACCTTTCTCACGTCTTTGCTGCAGCATTTATACCAAAAACACACTCACAACATCTCACTCATACAATCAATCCAACACATCTCAACATTTTTAAACTTTTCAAAACACAGCTTTAAAGTCTAATGTTCCACCGGCCCAGCCATCCGGGCTTCTGATGTTCAAAGTCTCTGGTAATACAGGTGTTTCCAAGACAGCATAACCAATGCCGAGCCAAATCGGTCGAAATTTGACTCCTGCATTCATTTACGCTGATCTGCTTTACAGTTTGTGCTGGGGAGAACAAAAGATCTCTCTAACTTAGGTGAAAAACATCCTGACAGCAACAGTCCTTGGTGTTGCTTGTTTAGTTTCACTAATCTTTTAATTGCAATAGGAATCTTTTCTTTTGTTGACAAGAGTCACAGTTATTACGGCTGTTAAATCTCAAACTGTAGCTCCTGCCAGTTACGGGGCGGAGGGAGAAGCGCTCCCGCTCGAAAAAGCACTCTGAAGTCAGAATCCGCTAAGGAGTGTGTGACAACTCGCTTGTCGAATCAACTAGCCCTGAAAATGGATGGCGCTGGACGCTCATCAGAGCCCAAAAAAGATGTCGGTCGATCTAAACAGCAGGACGAAAACTATCAATGCACAGCATGATTGCTCCTCCATCACCTGCTCTCTGATGTCCAGTTACTGTTCCCAAGCAGCAACTGGCCGCCCGTGGACATCTGGCCCCCAGTTCACACATGAGGGCGATGCGGCTCCGGTCGCTCCCCCCGCGGCGCTCTTTGTTCACTTCCAGCGTGGCTCTCGGGGTGGCGCGGCTTGGTTTCTGCGGCGGCGGCTCCGCTCTCGGGGCGGCGCGGCCGCTCCCGCGTGGCGGCTCCTGCGGCGGCGGCTTTTGATCTTCCCACCGCTGCCTCCAGCGCGCCCGTGCCGAGTTCGGAGTAGCACAGCACTGCAATTCTACCATAAATCACCGAATTCACACATTTCCGTTAATCCGTAAACCATATGGAAAATCCCTTTACCGTAGTCATAAGCCCAAAGTCCTGTTACGACCTTTTGCCAATTCATCTCTGCTTTGCGCTGCGGGTCACTCCCTACGCGACAGTTCGGCTTCGCCAGCGGTGGCTCCCTGTGGTGTCGGGTTGAAGGCTCCCTGTTGCGGAGGATTAGAGGCTCCCTGCTGCGGAGGGTTAGAGGCAGGAAAGAGTACCGATGATGCAGCGATGACTTCTGATGGTGCTTGGCATTCCCGGCGCAAGCGGCCCGTGCCTTGGCATCGGCAGCATTTCGTGCGGCCCTCTTTATTCGATGCTGCAAACGCAGCGGACGTTTGAAGAGGTGCAAAAGCGGCTAACACCTGACTCTGAGAGGACCTTGCCTGTTCTTGCAAACCTGTTCCTATCTGTTTGAGTGCATCTACCACAAAAGCCTGCTGCCCGGTAGGAATAAGAGCCATCCTCTCTAATGCTTCCTCTACAGTCCAATCTGCACCTAAAGCATTAAGTATGTTTCTAGTAGCAGAATTACTATTTTGAAGGACACACTGCCTGAGTAGGACCTCGCGCAAATATTCTGGCACGCCAGCTCTTTCAATTGCAGCAGCAGCAGCTTTATCAACAAAAATGCCAAATGACTCATCTCTGCCTTGCTTAATTCCTATAGACACTGGTATCTCTCCCTGTTCCTTCACCATGTCTATTGCGAGTCTGACTAACCGCATTGCCTCCCGGCACTTTTCTTGACCTATTAAAGCTTGTGCATCAGTACGAAGGAAACGTCCCAGACCCATAAGTTCATCAACAGTGACGCCATGCAAGGGGTCACCCGACTGTCTTTGAACTACCACACACTCACTGACAAGTATCCGCCAATGATCATTAAACAGCAATTGTTGATGGCGGGTAAAGATTAATTTAACTATGCCAAGACAATCATTAACGATGAGGATACTGGTGTTAAAAATATAATCAAGCATTTGCTTAGCTGGTCCGCTTCCAAGTCCAAACTGACTAACAGCAGCTTGCAATTGAGATAACAATTCCCAGTCAAGAGCACTAATTGCGGCTTGAATTCCTCCACCAGCCTGAGGGTTAAAGACAACCGGACAAGCCAGTTCCCGAGCCGAACTTATCAGCTCTTGATCTCCCTTGTCAATTGCATCTTTGGCCAGGGCAGCCCACGCGTCCCGTCTTTCCCTTGCAATCGCCGCCGCCAAGCCGCTTTCCGACCCAGGGACCGGCTGATTGCTTGTCGGGAACGGAGTACACGTATTGGGCCCCAGCTGCTGAGACGCAGCAGGTACGGGAGAGTCAAAAGTGCTCTGTGTAGCCTGCGGCAAAGCAGACAACAAGGCACCCCGCGGAGCTTGGCTCGTTAGGGGGGGCTGCGAAGCAGGTAATAAAGCAGTCTGCGTAGCCTGGTTTGTAGGCTGGCTCGTAGCCGGGCTTGTAGCCTGGCCCGTTAAGGGGAGCTGCGCGGCGGGCAGCGAGGCGGTCTGCGCCTGGCTCATAGTGTGACTCATAGCCTGGCTTTCCGAGGGAGGCAGTGAAGCAGGTAATAAAACTGTCCGCGTCGCGGGGCCAAGAGGAGTTCCCGCGTTCTTATCAAATTCCCTATCTTGATCGTAGTGTTTGTTACGACCG